CCCCCCCCCCCCCCCCCCCCCCCCCCCCCGCCAGGGTGGCCTCCTTCTCCCAGCGGGGAGCTATTGGTCAATAGCAGGTCAATAGCACGAGGAGGCAGAGGGAAGTGAGGCCGCTGCAGCCAGTGGTGGGTGCACAGACGCAAACCCCCACTCTCCCAAATGCCCCCCAGCGGCCCCGCTCGGGGACTCCTCCCGGGTTCCAGGGCCTGTCTGTAGACACAGCTCCACCACACAGCGCCGGACGGCCGTGCTCCGGGAGCACCACCTCTTCTGACACTGGGGCCCGACTCTCCCTGCTGGGCACACTCCAGGATGGCCAGGAGTCCTCTCGCTCCCTCACACCCTCTGCTCGGGGGTCACGCCCTGACGGCGGTCAAATTGTGCCCGCAGCAGTGCTCCTGCGCAAAAGAGCTGGTTCCTTCCCAGCATGCCGTCCTCGACCTCACCAACCTTCCTACTAAACTGAACAGGGGGGGCCGGTCGTAAAACGGGTCCCGGCCGTCGCACAGCGCGTGCTCCGGAAAGACGTCGTCCTGCAGATCCTCCTCCTCCTCCTCCTCCTCCTCCTCCTCCTCCTCCCCCACGCTCTGCTCCTCGGCAGGCTCGGTGGCGTCGGAGTCGGGGCTCGAGAAGGTGGGGGAGGGGGTGAGAGCAGCCATGCGCTCGCTCATGCATGTGTTGAGAAGAGGGTAGCTGTTGCAGCCAGAGATGACTGAACTGAGGTTAGTGCGACAAGACAGAGAGAAGTTAACACCAGCTACTCGCGGGGACGGACAGGGCGGGGGTGGGGGCTTCTGTTTAAACCAAAACCAAACACACAGACCATCAGGAATGCTGCTTTAAAAGACACGAGAACCAAAAGTGCATCCCGTCCCCAGGCTTGGAAAGAAACCACACGTGTGCTCAGGGGAAGGTCACCGAAAGTTCTGGAAAGTAGCCACTGGCGTGATCCTCGCCAGGTGTGGCTGAGGTCGTGTGAGGACCAGGTCACTCAGCCTGACCAAGCCACACATTCACACGCGGGGACACGTGCACCCCGGCGGCCACAGCCCCGCAGCAGGTGTAGGTGGTGATACTGAGACTCCCTCCCCTTCCCGGTCCCCAAATTATAGGGCCCACTGGTCTGTGGACAGGAGTGGCTGGGGCGGGGTGCCTCGGACCCAGGAAGGACGAGGTCAGGGACGTCAAGGTGGGAAAGGGCCTCTCGATGGCTCCCTCCTCATGTCAGGGCCAGGGCCCAGCCAGGGCGCTCGGCCTTAGGAGGACGCCCACTCCCTGCCCCTACCACCTTCTCTCTCTCTCTCTCTCTCTCTCTCTCTCTCTCAGCCCAGGGAGGGAAGGAGGCGCCCACCTGCCCACCAGCCGGAACCAGGGAAAGCGGTCGTAGAAGGGGTCTCCGCCAGTCACCACGTTGTCACAGTCCTCGATGACACTGGAGGGCACCTCCGCGGCCCGGTCGTACATCTCCCGCATCAGGTCCAGGCGCTGCCTGCAGGGGAACAGGGATCACCGTGGGCCTGGGCGAGCGGCCGGCACGGCACACCTCTGCTGCTGGGGACGGCAGGCTCCACCCGGCTCCGGCCACAGTTCAGCGTCATCCGGGGTTCAGCATGGTTTGCTGACAGGCCCCGCGCGGTCCTCGCAATCTGTCAACCGTGAGCAAGGAGACCTCTAGGTGAGCATGTGCTAAACACTCTCGATGCTGGCCCAGGGACACCACGCGATCTGTGCAGGCAGGACGGGCCGGGAACTGGAGGGGAAACGGAGAGGGCTCCGGCCAGAGCCACGGCGGGGACGCTCGGGGTGGGGGATCCCGTCACAGAGCCCTGAAAGCTCAAGGGAAGGGACGGCAAATCGGTGACGGGATACAGAAACATGACACATTTCAAAAAGTATCATCCCCAGGAAAACCAACAAGTTGTGGAAGAATGGGAACGAAATCGTTTCCCGGTAGGGCTCAGTGGCGATAGGAACGGGCTCATCCCCGCCACAGCGCGGCCCCGGGGAGGGTGGGGGGCCCTGAGCGTGCGCATCTACTCGCATGAATCTTATGAGAGCGCGTGTACCTGTGTGCGCGCGCGTGCGTGCCAGCGTGCGTGTGAGCGTGTGAGCGAGCCATGCGAGAAAGGGGGCGTGCGGGCGTCTGTGAGTGTGTGAGGGTGTGTGCGGGAGTGTCTGGGTAGGACTGTGTATTTTTACAGCTTTCCTTCTCTGTATTTTAGGGTGTCGGGACATCTGTGGGGCCTTGCTGGCCGGGCCGGTCGGTTCCTGTAGACAGTGGATAAGTCCTGGGTGAGCCCACCTCTCACAAGGAAACCGAAACCACCCCTCACCCCCGCCACCCACCTGTCTGACTCACGCCAAGCCAGCACCCCCTGCCTGAAATCACCCTAGAGCCAGGGACTCGGCAGCCAGGGGCAGGCTCTGTGTGCCAAAGCCCTCCAGAGAAATTCAAACCGGACGGTCCCAGCGGTTGGCCCTGCCCTGCCCAGGGCGTGAAGACCCGCACGGAGGCCGCGGACTCGCTTGCTCTGCTCCTGTCTCCCTCCTGATGGCCTGCGCTCCCTCCCGCCCACCCTGGCTCGGCCTACGTGCAGGGGCCTCACGTCTGGGGCACCTCGAGCAGCGCTTGTTCGACTTCCCTTGGACGGCATCGCCTGCGCCTCACTCAGTCCCCTTTCTCAGGTAAGAGCCACACGTGGGGACGAGCACGCGGGGAGGGTGCAGGCGGAGCTGGAGGAGAGACGCCTCTCGCAGGGACAGCTTCGCCCCCAGCCCAGCCCCCTCAGGCCCTCCCCCGGACCCGCGTCCCTGTCTTCCCCTGGGATCCCTACAGCCCCAGGGCGGAGAGGCTTGCAGCTGCCGAGCTCTTCTGAGGACATGTCCGCCCGGCGTGCCCTGCCGGCCCCCCGCCCGCCTTCCTGCAGCACCGTCAACCTCATCCGCCCCGTCCTCCATGGAAGCGCGGGACACTTGACCGCTGCGTCCGTAGGAGGAGAACGCCGACTCTACGCTAACACTTTTGCCTTCAGTAAAAACAACTCCAGCAGGAGAGAAGCGCAGGGACGCAGGAGCGCCGCGAACCCGCACCCACCCCTGCCGCCCCCCCCCTCGCGGCCTGCCCACCACACCTGAGCTTCTCCAGCGTCCAGTAGTGGGTGGCCCCGTTCTTCTGGTCCTGGACCTCCACGGCCACGATGGTGCGCGGGAAGGGGCGCGTCTCCCGCTCTTTGGCGGCCTCTGGGGGCAGCAGGTCCGGCGGCAGTGGGGAGTACAGCGTGTCCGTGAGGAGGACGAACTGGAACTGGACCTGTGGCGGCAGGAGGCGGCCGCCCGTCAGCCCCCGGGGGTGTGCGAGCCGGGCCCCACCTCCGGGCTGCACGCCCCACAGGGTTCGCCGGAACCTTCCAGCCGGCAGCCGGAGGGGAAGCTGTACTTGCACCCCGGCTGCTCCCGGGGCAGGGAGGGTGCGCATTCGCCTGGGTCCGTCCCCGGGCCTCCCTCGCTCTGCCCACGGCTGTACGGGGCCCGGGTTGTGGGCGGCCGGGTGGGGGCCCACCTTCTTCTTGAGCTCCACGCTGATGGCATTGGCCTCTTTGAGGAAGATGGCGTTGCCCCACAGCAGGTCCCGCAGAGACGTGAACTGGTACCACTTCCACTTCCGGAAGGCCCACAGCGCCAGCTCACACTCCCTCTCCGTCCACTGGACTGCGGGGACAGGCACGTGCGGTCGTCACGGAAATGCCACCTTACCCCACTCTGGCCCGGGGCCCCCACTTCTGCACTAACTGTCTCGGGCTCTTGGAGGGAAGGAAACCCACAGAGGGATCCGCCCCGGGGGGCGGCCTGAAGGCTCCATGTGCCCCAGAGGGGCTGACCAGAACCGGACATTCTGAGAGTCAGAGAAGCCCAGAGGGGCTGGGGGCGGGGGGAGGGAGCAGCATTGGGGCCACGTGCTCACAGGACAGCAAGAGAGCACAGTGACCTCCCACCCTGTCCCAGCTCACACACCTTTGTCTACTGTGTCCCCAAGAGAAAGGGAGCAGGGACACCAGGAGGGGCCTGTCCAGGCTCCCAGGCTCCGCCCCTCTCATCCAGGGCTCCTGCCCCGAGGGAAGATGATTCCAGGCAACAGGAGGCCAAGGTCACATCTACACAAAGGTGCTGACCAGAGGGGTCGAGCTGGACGCGCATCCTGTGCCTGACTCCACCCCATCTGCCCTGCCTGTGGGCCGCCCTCGTGCCCCACAGCAATGTGAGGTCCTCCCCCTGCCACAGGGGGGGCTGCCCAAGCCGATGCTTGGAAAGGGGGTCCTGAGGTGAGGAGCGGTGACCTAGTCCTGGGAAAGAGCACCAGCCTGTGCAGGCGGGACACACGGCAGGGCGGACGAGCAGACACCACACCCTGCCCGCACCGTGCTCCCCACCACCTGGGCCATTCCTGCCATAACCTGCGTGCGCGAGCACACGCCTGTGTGAACACACTGCACGAGCACACGCCTGCGCTTTCCCGCTGCAGCGCAGCCTCCCCCAAATCCTGCCTCCGTGGGTGCTTCCCGGGGACAAGGAGGCCTCGCTCCCTGAGGGGCGGGGCGGGCCGGGGACCCCGAGGGCAAAGGCGCCGACCAGGCGCCTGGGGGCTCCTCGTGCCCAAGACCCCGCCCGGCCCCGG